AGTGGACAGGGCAAACCAAAACACAGAGAACCAAACTGCTTATTATCACTCCATCCCCATTCCCCCCTCCCTCCCCAGGGGAAGATCAAAAAGAGGATAAGTGAGAGAGGTTTTTTGCAAATTAGAACTAAAACAGGGTTAATGGAGTGGGGATGGGATCATAACTAGTCGGAAAGCAATGAAAAATATACATATATATACACATAATGGACTCAATGGTAGCTGATATAAGACTTGGTGGAACCAACACAGGGTAAAAGGACCAGGAATCTTATCAGCAATGGGTGGAGTTGGATTCTGCAGACCATGTGGCAAGCTGGAGACTGAGAGCCAGGAGCCTCCTTCCCGGATGTCCACTGAAAGAGAGAAGGGAGCAAGGCCCAGCTTTCCCAGTCTCCTGACATTTTGTAGGGTATGACTGAAGATGGGAGGGAATATGGAGGTCATCCCATCCTTTGCCGTTCTGCCCCTTGCACCTCTTTGTGGTCCTAACTAATGCCTTCTTTCTCTCTCAGGCTTGGTAATCAGAGGTAGTTGCATCAATGCCATAAAATCAGTTTCTGCCCTATCAAACCATAACATCCTAGGAGCGGCAGAAGAATTTTAAATGCTACCATTTGAAGTTAACTCCATGGAGTGATGAGAGTGGCTAGACAGGCCATGCTTGATTTTTTGATGTGACCCTGAGAAAATGAGTTTAAAATAATTTGATAACATTTTTCAGTTCCTGACTGCCCTGTTTATTTAACAGGTCTGAGAGTGGCGGCTTCTGATCCTGCCTAAATAATGTTGTTGTTTGATCAGTGTTATCATTAATTTGACTGCAAGTGGAGATAGTATTTTGGAATAGGTGAATACATTGGCTTTATACTTTTAACAGCTTATAACATAGAGGGGAGATTAAAATTTTAGACCTTTTAAAAGATAAAATCAGGCAACAAAGTGAATCATACTGTGGAAAAACATACCCATTATGACCCTTTCTGTATTAAATGAATGAAAATCTTTTAGATATTTTTGGAGCGCTCTTCTGAAATACAGTGTTCTACGTGCTAAACCTACCTTTGAGGAGGACATCAAATAAAAGACAAATTATTATTGCCATTCTTCCCAGCGAAACCCATTTAATTTAATGATTAAATCGTAAATGTCTGACAGCATTTTGTATTTCCAAATGAGATGATTGTCTGTCAGCATGCATCGGATCAGGTAGGAGTCTATACATTTGGCAGTCAGGGAGTGGGGCCTTTAATTTAGTGGATTTCTTATAGTATTTTTAATCCTTTCTCAACTTAGAAAACAAGGCTGACACCCTTTATATAATGTGTGATGTTTTAAAACCTCAAGTGTCACCAATCCCCTTGCCATTTTGATCAATTTGAGCATTCTGTGAATGCTTATGAATTAGCAGAGGATCACTGTATATTCCCTCCAGTTAGTGAATTTAAATAAAAAACCCTGTTACTATTGATTGCAGCAAATACTTTGTGTTTTGGTAGAAATCACCTAGAGGTTCAAGTATTTAATCATGCAGTAGGATTTTAAGAGAGTCTAGTGACCGGATTCAGCTTGATGGTGTAAGATGCCAGCATGATGTGTGGGCAGAACCAGCCTTTCTGAGGAGTGCGTAAGAGCATTCAGGTGAGGAATCTGCCTCTGCATGGGCAATACAGAGGGTTTTGGGGTGTCTCAGTGGTTGCTTGTACTGTTGGCAGAGCAGGGACCTAGCCAGTCTGCATCTTGGGCTGTTGCCCTCCCGTCAGACTGGAATGGATACTGGGAGGAGCAGGACTCAGAGTACCTGTGATATGGAGATGCAGTAATGGATAAATCAGTTTTCTTTTGATGGTAAATGGTCAGGAGACTTGTACCATTGAACTGCTAGTTTGTGTTTTGTTTTGGGATTTGGTTTGGTTTGTTTTTTTCATGTAGGTGCCCAGAAGGTGTACAGCTGATGCAGGCAGGAGGTCATTGCAATGAGAGCTACTTACAAAGGAGCAACCAATCTAAAAAAGCCAAAGGTGCAGATGTCCCTCACTGACCTACCACACTTGACTGTCCATGCAAGGCCGGAGAGCCCCTGTGTGCTGCTGCCATTGTTGTACATGGCAACCCTGGCTCTGTGAGGGTGCACGTTTACTTGCCTTTCACTTTGTCTCTCCTGTCTCTGCTTCTGTGGGCAGAACATGAACCATAAATGGAATAAGAAGCCCTTGAAAAATCTGCCAGGGATTTTGTGTCATGATTGATGAAGGAGCTTTGCTGTGTTTGGAAGATGTAGTTATATATAAAATAAAATCAAAGGCAGAAGCATAGAGATTTTCCTTGTTTGGGAAGGCTAAGCAAGAGTTTGTTTCAATTCTGCTGGTAAGGAAGATGACAGTAGGAAATAGTTAGATTCTGTATCTGTTAAATTCTAATGAAAACTAGAGCATACCCAAATATGCTTCTCTTTCTTATTGCCTGAGAGGGACTGTGATCATCATATTTTGTGACCTAAGGTATATTATTGAAAGAACAAATGTTAGCTTGTTGTTTTGGGGTTTTTTTGTTGTTGTTTGGGTTTTTGTTGTGATTATTTGTTTTTTATTATTAAACTTTTAAACCTCTTACTGAGCTTTGCAGTTCGACATGTTGAAGTTCATGCACACTTATCAAAATGGCACATTTTCAGTATAGGAGCTGAATCTTGAATTGCAGAACTAGGTACCAGCAAATAATGTGGTACCTTTCCACAAAACACTGATCACATAATTTCTGAGGCACCAGTAATGTGTGAAAGACTTAAATATCCCAAGCTTTGCTTGTTCTTCATCTTGCATCACAGGTAGAGAAAATCAGATATGCCATATAGTTGATCTTTTCCCAGTACTTTTGTAAAGGCTGAAATATATTTTCTTTGCTGCATTACTGGCTTTTGGTGAGATGATGTGAGGAAGTTCCATTTTGTGTCATGAGCCATCCAAAAGCCAGCATGTTTTCAACGTCCAATTTGGAATTTTTATTCACTTTACAAATTGATGTGAAACCATAGCTATTGAGGCTTCTGGTGTGTGCGAAACATTTGTTCAGCTACAAAATGAGTGGGGAAAAAGAGCCAGCTATGACATGTCCAAATGGGAGCATGTTGGAGTGCTGTGAAGCAGCACATCTTCCATCAAGGAATGGACAGATACAGTCCATGACTGCATGTCTAGGTTCAGGATGTCTGTGAGACTGGGCGTTGTGGCTTTGCCAAGGACCAGCACTTCCAAGGTCTGGATTTTTCAACACTGATGTTTTGTGAAATATGATGATTTGGTGCTAGATTTTAAAAAATCCAACATCGCCAATATTTATTACCAGAAATTAATTTGATATTTTAAAAAAATATTATCTAGTTAACAAAGTTTGTAAAATTGTAACCAGTCTTCAGTTATTTCTAGGCAATATAGGCCATGCCTGCAGCAGTCGCCCCCAGCTGCTCCCAGGTGGTAAATCATTAGCTGCGGGTAGGACTGTCTCCCAGTGTGGATCCTGCACTGGTGGGACATCGTATGGTCTCTTAATAAGACATGGAGTGTTTGGCATTGCTTGTTTTGAGTGTTCTTTCTGGGTCATATGCTATGAATCTTGCTTGATATTATGAGAATTTCTTTCTTTGGAGCCCAGAATCAATACTGATGGATTGTTCTGTATAGAAATTTGAAGGTAGAGCAAGGTGGAGTAATTGATACGCACTATGCGTGTGTGCTGCTGGTCTGCTGTCAGCTTCAGAAATCACATTTGTCCATTTGCCTTGATAAGAAATTCTGTAAATCACAAAGTTGAAGACCTTTTAATATATTACTCCTTTCCCTCTTGTTACTGGTGGGTGGTCAGTCATCTAGAAAATAAACTATTTAGTTCCTTCCAACCTTGGACCAAATCTACCATAAGGCAGAACCACTGAGGTGTAGAATTACTGCAGAGGTTAACAGTAGTTAATTTTTCTGAGTGTGTGTTTAGTGTAAAAAGGGGAGAGGTGATGTGAGGGAGAATCTTGCTATATTGAGAGTAGTTATTTTTCTTATTAAGTAACTTTCATGCAAAGTTCTGCTGCTACAGATGTCTCTAAAAGAAATGAGGAATTAGTTTATTCCCATTCTTCTGGAATTATTAGACATACAGTTGAAACAGTGATTTTAGTAACTTTGCTAGTAATTGTATTATAAATTTAGTAATCCATAATGACAGTTCTTCCAGCTGAAAGTTTGAAATTAAAATAATGCTTGTATCTTATTGCCAACATTCTGTGCTTTTGAATACTACTGATATTAATCCTTTATTTAAAAAAAACTCCAACAAACAAAACCAACAAAGTATTACTATGTAACACAGTCAACATTCTTTTTCAAAATAGAGGTTCTTTTTTTTCAATTTCTTACACTGTATTAATTATGGAAACCTTTAAGGATGCTTTAAAGGACACCTTATTAAAATAGGAGAGAAGCCTCTATTTTTTCCAAGAAAAACTAATTTTTGAAATTAATTTTTTAATTGTGTAGTTTGTTTCTAAGTTCCTCCTAAGAAAAGTTAAAGTTTAGACTAACTTCCATCCCATTGTATATATGATTAACTTTTAAACATCTGAGTAGGTTCAGCTTGGATGGAGCTTTAAGGCCAGGTGGGATGGAGCTTTGAGCATCCTGGTCTAGTAGGAGGTGTCCCTGCATGTGTAGGGGGTTTGGAACTAGACAATCTTTAAGACCCTTGCAACCCAAACTGTTCTACGGTTCTGTGATTCGCTGACTTCAGTAACTACACATGCCAAGAGGCTTTTGACAAATTCACTCACTACAGTTTCTTTGTGGGCTGCAGCAGTGGGGCTGGTGCTGGGCAGAGGGAGCTGAGGCTCTCACAGGATCCCTGCTGATGAGCTGTGACCACAGCAGTGTCACTGGTAGCACCGCTGGCCGCATTCAGTTTGCACAACTGCCATCCTTGCAAAAGCTTGAGTACTGTAATTTAGGAAGGTCATAATGATCCATGAGTGCTCCAAAGTGGTGAGAAAGCAGTTTTCCAACTGTGCGCACATTACTGGTGTAGCCTGTTGGCCACTTCCATTTCTACCCTTGAGAAAGTTTTGCTTTTGTAATGGCCTCAGCCTGGTAATGATGCAACACATACTGGCCATTTTGCCTCAGTTCAGAAGAGTGGTTTTCTTTGTTTGTTTTCCTTTAGGGGATAAATAGGCAATTTGGAGGTACCTGTCTTTGAAGCCCTGTCTTATTCACTAATTTTTAATTTTGGTAACTAACTTTATCCAAAGCTGATAAAGTGACAGAAGTGTTACAGTTCTTGAATTTGTACCATCTTTGGAGCAGTTCAGGCCTGGGTGCAAATGACCTTATTAGTTCCCAGAAATGCAGAGAGTGATTAGGCAGAAAGGCCTTAGGACATTGTCTAATTATAGGTTGATTTTTCTAATACATAGATCTTCAAGAATAATAGTTTTCCAAGTTTATGAAGTGAATCCGATTTATATTCTGATATATATTTTAATAGTTACAACTAAATAAAAATAATTATCTATAATTACATTTGGTTTTGTTTCAGTAAAATTATATTATTAAGTTGACCTGAATCCTGCATTTGTCATTTTTGTAACCTTTATATTTCTTCTTCATTAGAACTATGCAGCACTGATACAGCAACAAATCAATGAGAACAAACAAAACTTCAGAGAAAAGACTGTATATGGAATCCAGCTCACAGAAGAAAAACTTAATGACTTCCGTGATGAACAGATTGGGCAGCTGAAGGAACTGATGGATGAAGCTACTAAACCTGTTAAAAAACCCACCATTTCTAAAGACTCGAAACACAAAAACTGAAAGGGTTTAAAATTATTGTTTTAATGCACACGGAAACATTTGAAACTTCCATTTCCAGTTGGACTTCGGTGTGGTTTCTGTGGAATAATGGGTGCTGCTGATGCCAAAACTTGTCTGAAATTGATGTCTCTGGCTCTCTGGCTTTCTGTGCATAAGTAAATATTAAAATGGAGTAATTACAACAAGTTTATGTTAATTGCAGTATTTTTCCTCTCCTAATGGAAGGTGGAGACTTAAAAAATTTGGTAGAAGTAAGTTGACAATTTTAAAATGGAAAGTTTTATTTTTGTAATTCTTAACACCCACAGGGTAGAACATCTTTCTGTTAGTGTATCATCCTTAATGAGCAAGATATATTTAGTGTTTCTTTTCAGTTATGGATTCAGTAGAGAAAGAACAACACTATGGTATTAGAGTGGGCTTATTTCAGGGAAAGAAATGAGCAGGATGTGAAACACACTGCTTTTGAAACTGAAAGTTGTTTTTTTTTCTTGAGCTTTATTGTGAAATATGCTTTAAAATAAAAGATGTAGTTAATAATTAAATTGACCTTGAAGGAACACTGTCTTATGTAAAAGATTCTGCACTTTATTCAAAGTGAAACTCAGATTGTTGTTAGTATCTAGCATTTTTTAAAAACACTCATGAATTGGTTTTGCTGTACTTAGAATTCAAAGGCTGTTTAAAAGCTCAGTGTCTCATATTTTTCAATATTTTATGTAGACCAGAATTTGTAAACAGCTCAATCATGGAAGTGATGCTGTTGGTAATGCTGTATAATGACCATGTCTTACTGTAGGCAGTAGGTGAAGTCTTCATCAGGACAGTGCATACCTATTGTAACACTGATATAGTTGTGACTAAAAAAAAAAAGTCCTTTTATATCTGCTTTTATATCTGTAAAAATACCCCCTTTCTGTGCAAAATACAGCTTTGATTTAATTTTCCAAATCTAGCTTTCTATTTTTAGTTGTAGACCTTCCCCCTCTCTGTTACCCACAGTGTGTTCAAGACAACGTAATTTCTTTCTTCATAGGAGATAACAGCTTTGACAAGTAAGCACATTTCCATCTGTCTCAAGCTGTAACAACATGCTGTTTGCCAAAGCTACACTCCTGGATCCTAACGGGGCAATTTGGGCAGCAGCCTGCTTCTCTTCCCCTTAGCTGTCTTCCCGATTCTTTGCTAAGATTTTAGGTTGCAGGTCGTTCATGTTTATTAAAATGCTGATTGCAAGACACTTGTGCAACTCAGGGCTGCTTTGCTGCATGTTTCTCTGCTGCAACCTTGGCTGCTTCCAGAGTAGGAACATCCTTTAGCCTCAAGTGCCTAATCCACACAGGGACAGAAGGGTGCAGATGACATCTAGGCTGCAAGGCTGAGGTCCACAAATCCTGGCTCTTGACCAAGGTCATGGTTGGAGAGAATGGTGGGTCATTTCTTGCTTGCTATGTACCTAGGTCTTGCCCCAGCATCAGAGTGGGAAGTGGATGGGGTGTCTTTTCAGACTACAAAGGCTGTAGAAGTGTAATCCAACTCCAAATTTTAAGGGCATAAGGATGTATTCTTTTGCACTTCCATCAGATGTACAGTAAACTTTTATTTTTGTCACTGGATCTACGCAGTTTTAACATAAAAATCAGTTGTTTGTTGCCACTCCTTGATTGCTATAGTACACGTGTGCCTACTTTCCAGTCAATGTCCAAGTTGCTTTAAATTGATTTCAAGTACTGCAATTTAGAGCACAGTTGTTTTATCATCACATTTAATGAAACTTTGTTAGTTCAATGAAACTAGTTATAATACTTATTTTGCCTCTATCTACTCATGTATGGACCTGGATAGTGCACATTTCCAGAGGCTTAATTGATTTATAATGAAAAAATGCTATTTGTTATGAAAAATGTAGGCTTAGAATGAGACCTCCAGGGAGTTGTAGGTGAGGGTAAATATATTTACGTCCTCAGCCCCTTTTCTAGTAATTCTGCTTTTTTTTTTGCTTTTTTTTTTATTCCCCATGGTAGTTTCTGTTTTGTACAGTGTGTGTATTCTTGTTTGAAACAACTTTTACAAAAGCTGAAATTCCAGCATGGGAGTGGAGCATCTTTAAAGATTGCTGGCTTTAAGACAGCCAGTGCTTACAGTAAGGTGTGCTCTGATCAAGCAGTGCTTACACAAGTGGTGGACAGGGGCAGCCGTGCAGAACCTTTGCAATGCCACCCCCACCATATGTTTGTGGAATTCTTTGATTACAACTGTGGTTAATGACAGTTAAGTTGAAGACAATGGGCTTCTCCTGTCCACACAAAGGCAGAGTGACACAGGTGCTTTATTTTGTTAAGGTAAAGGATACTTCTTGTGGGGCATTTTACACAGGGTTTGATGGATAATGAATAAAGGAAAGCATCCATCAAGATTACTTCAGAACTACAAGCAGCGTGCTATTTCAAATGGCAAAAGAGTTGCTTAGGAGAAAGATAATAATCACCTTATAATAAAAAACGTCTATGATCACTTTAGGAGTGAGTACAAAGTACTAAGCTGTGTTCTGAGTGTGTTGGTATGGATTGCTGTTACACAACCAAACACTGGAAAGCTCCTACCACTCTTGAAAGACCTCTCCATTCAGCTGATCCTTTAAGAAAGATCCTTTGTATTTTTTTAATCTTAAATCCATTTGGCTCTTCTAGAATTAAAAGAGAATTATAAAATTCACTGGTTAGTTTGACTAATCCTTATTTGTGATAACACACTATGTCATTGCCTGGCAGCTGGTAGGAGTGTGAGGGAGCTGAAGTTTTTAGATAGCTGGAAAAGGCATGAGCAATCTTCTCAACATCTTGTCTCATCAACAAGTAAAACAATTCTCAGAAATCTGTTCCATTAAAAATTAGCAGTTTTGATAAGCAAAATACAAAGTTATACATCTTAAAAAGAACAACTAAAAATATAATTATTTTAGTGTTTTGTTATTTCTATGATGTGGGTTAATGCTTTTTTAACTGCCTGTCTAGCAAGACGTATTAGAATGTGATGCTTCTCACTTAACTTAATGATTTAACATATTGACAATAGGATTTATGAAGGAGTTTCATTTCTTAGCCATGTGGCCCTACTAAAACATTTTAAAATTATTATTGACCTTCTTATTTCTTCATTTTGAATATGTATTTATGAGAGGCTGGTTATTCACAACTGAGTCAGTGGCCAAGTTTTCTAGGTAAAAATATTGAACAATTAGTGAAGGATTAATCCCATGCCTTTCCCTGCCTGTTATTACCTGTTTTAATTTGTACTCTCTATAGCCAGACTAGTAGCAGAGGGAGGGTTGAAGCTCTCAGCAGACTGATTCACTCCAAGCATGAGCATAGAGAGTCCATGTACCTTTGAGGAAGGGTGAAAGCTGAATTACTGTAAAAGGCATCTCCCATTCCAGGGCAAAAGATATCTCTACATGCTGTCCTGCTTAACTGTTGATTTTCAGACCTCTTGGAAAGGGTTTCAAGTTAAGTCCTTCCTGCTGGAGGATATAGATGCAGCAGCACAGGTTTTGCAGGGCTGGTTTGATAACAGAACTGCCTGACCCACCTCATACTGACCTGTGTCCTGTTGCTGGACTGGGCTCAGTGTTCCTGCCAGTGTTTCATACCCAAGAGCCTTACTGTGAGCAATGGTGATACTGGGCAGTCTTCCCCTTTGAGCCACATCAGGAAACTCTCTGTAAAGACTGTCACAAATCAAATGGCTGGTGTTAAAGCAACAATAACTGCATTTGTAAATTATATGCTCTTGTTCATGGGGGTTACATACCTGCTGCAAAACCTGGCTTTGGCAGGAACATTTTCAGCAGTTTCAGTAGCTATGGCTCTGCCCTGGGAGCAGACTCAACAGTGCTGAGTCCTTCCAACTTTTCCAGTGGCTTGTGTCTACTAAGTAAGGCACACAAAGATCACAGAACTTAATTTTATTTGGATACAACCATTTATAAGTATAATATAAAGTCTTCTTTGTTCATAGAAACTGAGAGGTATTAAGTCAACATATAAATTCAGTGGCTATTTGTAAACATCTTCTCTAGCCTCCCTACTTTCAAGAGCAGCCAGGCTGAGGGCTAAGGGTGTGTATGGACTTCTGTGCTGACTGGTAGTGATTTGAAGGCTAGCTAATGGCTTTCAGAAACAAAAAAAAACCCACAGAAGGGAGATGTCAGGGGTTATGTTGTAGGAATTTACCAGTTTAATCCCTAATGCTGAACTGTGGTAGCAATTACGGGGTCAAATTTAGTTGGTGGCCAGTCACAATGGTGTCCCTCAGGGCTCAGTTTTGGGCCCAGGCTTATTCAATATCTTCATCAATGATCTGGATGAGAGGATTGAGTGCACCCTCAGAAAATTTGCAGTTAACACCAAATTGGGTGAAAGTGCTGATCTGCTTGGAGGTAGGAAGGCTCTGCAGAGGGACATGGACAGGCTGGATCGATGGGGTGAGGCCCAATTGCATGATGTTCAATAAGGCCAAGTGCAAATTTGCAGTTAACACCAAATTGGGTGAAAGTGCTGATCTGCTTGGAGGTAGGAAGGCTCTGCAGAGGGACATGGACAGGCTGGATCAATGGGGTGAGGCCCAATTGCATGATGTTCAATAAGGCCAAGTGCTGGGTCCTGCATTTTGGTCACAACAACCCCAGCAATGCTACAGGCTTAGGGCAGAGTGACTGGAAAGCTGCCCAGCAGAAAAGGACCTGGAGGTGCTGGTGGACTGTATCAGGAATAGTGTGGCCAGCAGGAGCAGGGAACAGATCGTGCCCCTGTACTTGGCACTGGTGAGGCCACACCTCAAGTGCTGTGCTCAGTTCTGGGGGCCCCTCACTGCAGGAAGGACACTGAGGTGCCAGAGCATGTCCAGGGGAAAGCTACCAAGCTGGTGAAAGGTATAGAGAACAAGTCATATGAGGAGCAGAAAAAAAGAAGAATTTCTACACTGAAAGTGTGGTCATGCAC